AATGAGAAGGAAGTAGGACAAGGGTATTTGGGTTTGAGATAGATCTCACATTGTACTTAAATTGAAAAAATGATCTTGTGGGTAAAAAGGTTGGAGGTCACTGGCATAAACTATTCAACTAGTCGATAGGATGTCTCCACCTCTGAAGTATAGAAACAGCCCTAGGGTTGTTGCTACACTTTAAAGGTGAAAGTACCACATGGAGCCCAAGGTCAGCTGGTGACTTCCTGCAGACCCCGGGCTCCATGAGGCGCTGCTGCTTTGAAACGCTGCGGGATGACCCTGGCGTCAGGCTCCCCGCGACATTTCAGAGCAGCAGTTCAGCTTAGAGCCCAGGGTCACCTGGGGACTCCCCCACTGTCCCCGGGACTCCATGTGATGTTTTGCCTTTAAAGTGTAGCAACAGATCTAGGGCTCCATGTGGCGCTGCTGCTTTGAAACAGTGGGAGAAGCCTGTAGCCAGGCTCCCCTGTAGCCAGGCTCCTGTGGCAGCATTTCAAAGCAGCAGTGCCGCATGGAGCCAGGGGTCTGGCCCCAGGCTCCATGCAGTGCTGCTGCTTTGAAGTACCCCTTCTTTCCCCCCATCGTTTTATACGTATAGTTGGGATTATATTTTCCAGTATGCATTAATTTGTATTTATCAACATTAAAATTCATCTCCCATTTATCAACATTAAAATTCATCTCCTATTTTATTGCCCAATCACCTAGTTTTATAAGGTGCTTTTGAAGTTTTTCACAGTCAGCTTCAGACTTCACTATCTTGAGCAGTTTTGTATCTTCTTGCTACTTCACTGTTTACTCCTTTCACTAGATCATTTATTAACATGTTGAATAGAACTAGTCCTAGTACAGATTCCTGCAGGACACAACTAGTTACCTCTCTCCATTCTAAAAACTGATAATTTATTCCCATGCATTGTTTCCTGTATTTTAATCAATTATTAATCCATGATAGCACCTTCCCTCTCATCTCATGGCAGGATTCTGTTTCCGGCATTGTCACACAGTTCTTGTGAGACACTGGGTATGTTCAAATGCTCTGGTTATTAGCTGCCCAAGCTGCTGAGCATACAGAACTCCAGATGAAAATCAAGCCCAAAGTGCCTCAAAATAAAGGCACCTAAAATCAAAGGCCATTTTTGCAAATGTCAGTGCTAATCCCTCTTGGCCACCTGTGCAAAGGTATTTAGACATGTAAAGATGTATAGAGGTACCTTGTGAGATGTACTCCAGCCAAGCAGAGCTCGGTGCCTAATCTGCTTAGGCACTTTTGTAAATCCCATTTGGTGCCATTTTTTGGGTATAAAATTATCCTTGAAAATCTGGCCCTCTGGGTCTCATCTCAACATCAGCAACATCTTTGATAGGACAATCATCCTTGTGGATAAGGGGAAAGTAGTAGATGTGGTATACTTAGACTTTAGTAAAGCATTTGATACCATCTCACAAGACCTTCTTATCAATAAACTAGGGAAATAGAATCTAGACAGTGTACTGTAAGGTGGATGCATAAGTGGCCTTTGTCTAGACTACAATGTTTTATCAGAAAACAATTTGCGTACCTTTTTCCAATAGTTTTGTCAGAAGAGGCTTTTCTGAAATTTGGGGAATCTAGATGGGGCCAAATTTCGGAAAAACCTACTTTCAAAAAAGCCCTTCTTCCTCGTGGAAGGAGGAAGACAGGGCTTCCAAAAGAGCGTGTCTGCTCTTCCACAAAAGAAAGCAGAAGAGCAGATGTATTTCCTGGATGTGGCAGAGTTCTTCTGGGATACCTCTGGTATCCCAGAAAAAACCCATAGTCTAGATATAGCCTGGTTGCATAACCATTCTCAGAGAGTAGTTATTAATGCTTCATAGTCACACTGGAAGGGCATAACAAGTGGGGTTCCGCAGGGATCCGATTTGGGACCATTTCTGTTCAATATCTTTGTCAACAACTTAGATAATGGCATAGAGAGTACGCTTATTAAGTTTGCAGATGATACCAAACTGGGAGGGGTTGCAAGGAGCATAGGGTCATAATACACAATTACCTGGACAAACTGGAGAAATGGTCTGAGGTAAATAAGGGTACGTCTGCACAGCAGGGCTAAAGCCGAATTAAGCTATGCAGCTTCAGCTACATCAACTACGTAGCTTAAGTCAAAATAGCTTAACCCAGCTTTAAGCATTATCTACGCAGCAGGAAGCTGAAGGAAGAACACTCTTACTTCAACTTCCCTTAGTCCTCATGAAATGAAGGTTACTATGAGTTGGAGTAAGAAATCCTCCAGCTTGACATTATTTCAAAATGTTATTTCGGCTGCTGTGTAGATATGCCCTTAGATGAAGTTCAATAAGGACAAATGCAAAGTACTCCACTTAGGGAGGAACAGTTTCAAACATACAAAATGGGAAATGGCTGTCTAGGACAGGAGTGGGCAATAATTTTTTGCCAGGGACCATTTTGGAAATTTCGAAATGGGCTGCACAGGAAGGGGAGGGGCATCAAGCAAAAGGGGCAGGAGCCAAGATATTTCTGGGTTCCCCACTCCCAGATAATGATTGGTCCGGGGGTGAGGGAGTGCCTTTGACTGAACCCCACGTTCCTTCAAGGTGCCCATGCCCCAGGCGTGGGAGGAGACTTTCCTTGCTCCCCTGCCCCTAGGCCAATTAGGGTCTGGGGGCGGGGGAGCTCATGAAGCCTCCTCCACTCTCCTTTCCCCCTCCCCTGTGAGCAGCGCGCGCTGCTTCAAAGCACCATGTGCTCCTGGCAAGGCAGGAGGAGGCTTCTCACGCTCCCCCGCCCCTAGGCCAATCGGAGGAGAGAAAGCACACAAAGCCTCCTCCCTCTCTCCCCTCCCCCTGCAAGCAGCATGCAGCACTTCAAATTGCCACATGCTCCTGGCAAGGCGGGAAGAGGCTTTGTGGGCTCCCCCACCCTCAGGTCCTAATTGGCCGGATCCATCCACTTGAAAAGCTGGATCCAGACCGTGGAGGCCCTTTTGCTCACCCATGGTCTAGGAAGTAGTACTGCAGAAAGGGATCTAGGAGTCATAGTGGACCACAAGCTAAATATGAGTCAACAGAGTGATACAGTTGCAAAAAAAAGCAAACAATCGGGGATGCATTAACAGGAGTATTGCAAGACAAGAGAAGTGATTCTTCCACTCTACTCTGCACTGATTAGGCCTCAACTGGAGAGTTGAGTCCAGTCTGGGCACCATATTTCAAGAAAGATATGGAGAAACTGGAGAAGGTCCAGAGAAGAGCAACAAAAATCATTAATGGTCTAGAAAACATGACCTATGAGGGAAGACAAAGAATTGGATACATTTAGTTTGGAAAAGAGAAACCTGAGAGGGGACATGATAGCAGCTTTTCATTACCTAAAAGGATGTTACAAGGAGGGGGGGGGGGAATTATTCTCCTTAACCTCTGATGATAGGACAAGAAGCAATGGCCTTAAATTGCAGCAAGGAAGATTTAGGTTGAACATTAGGAGAAACTTCCTATCAGGGAGGTTAAGCGCTGGAATGATTTGCCTAGGGAATCTCCATCATTAGAGATATTTAAGAGTAGGTTAGACAGACATGGGTTAGTGATGATCTAAATGGAGCTTGGTCCTGCCATGAATGCAGAGGACTGGACTTCTAGTTCTATTATTCTGTGAACATGCAGACCATGAAATTATATCACAGATATCCTGTGAGTAAATTAATTAGCACAAGCATGTAGAGCAGGATAAGCAGCCAAATGGCCAAATACAATTAGCAAGGGATAGTCATTCGTGGGCCACCAGACATTTCATTCACCTGAGCATCCATACAGCTGCTCACAGATCCTGTTGGCCATTGTTTGCTGTTCCCAGTCAATGGTAGCTGTGGGAAGTGGAGGCCCAGCCTGTGTTACTTCCTGCAGTTCCCACTGGCTAGGAATGGTGAACCGCAGCCAACAGGAGCGGTGAGCAACCGTACCTGCAAACACTCAGTTAAAGAAAGCATCATGTGGCCTGCCAGAGAAACACATCTGGCCCACTCCTGATGTAAAATCTACAGTTGTTATGCGGGTTGGGCCAACAGAAAAGCCTGTCAGATCATTAAAAATAAAAGCATCTTTCACCTCTTACTCACAGCTGTAAATCCAGCTCAGGTTCCCTAGGACAGGCGGTTGCTATTGTGTGACTGATGTCAGAGCTGCCTTTTGAAATGAGCATGGTACTTCTTAGCTGGCAAAGGTCCACATCACAACCTGTCACCACCATCACCTTAACTATCACTCTTGTCACCAGTCTCCACAGGGTGACTAAGGAACAAATGTGGAGTCTAGTGACATTGTGATATGTATGTTCACCTAGTTGGTTCCCACCAACTTGTTTTTCACAGCCCATAAAACAGCCATCAAATGGATCACTACCTTCAGTGGAACACATTCAAACTGGTGACCTACATTTCAATCCTAACTTTATCCACATGCAGGAGCTGCCCTAGCCAGGTCAGAAATGTTTTTGGGCCCTCTCCTCTAGCAGCTGAACAAACAAACAAACAAAAATAGCCAGTCAATCAGGAGTGCAGGGAGAAAACAGCAGAGCACCACAGCAGTTCGGCATGCAGGCAATTGCCCTGCTTGCCCACACGTAGAACCAGCCCTGGAAACATGTAGTCTTATTGAAACATCATGGAACAACTCAAGCAAGTAAATTTCCTCAGATACATACACACACACTTACTAGTGAAAGGCTATGTAGCTTCCATGCTGCAAAACATTCACATTGCTCATCCTTATGGATTGTTTCTTATCTGACAAACTTTGAATCCTTTTTTAATTGAACCCTCATGTTATAGCTTTGTAAATTGTTAATTACATATCAACAGAATCCTGGTCCCGCTGGAATCATAGGGAGTCTTGGCCCTTTGCTTCAATAGGGCCAGGATTCCATCCATACTGTCTATAGTGGATGAAAGCAAATACATAAATACATGCAACTCTTTCTGTCCGCGTATACTTTAAATTCTGACCGTCACTGTTAATATTCTGAAGCCTTGTACAAATCAGACTGGCATCTTCATATTTTGGATCATGAATAGTGTAGTCAAAAGGTATCTTCTTAAATGTCTCAAAATCAGGCCACATGTCTCCTGGCTGGTGATAGCATTGATCTGATTCTTCTTGGAGTTCTATAATATTGGTTTAAAAAAAAACATGCAGTTTATAAAAAATGGAATAATGTTTACAGTTTTACAGAATGCTTTTCTAAAGAGATGCTTGAAATCAATTTAAAGATAAAAATGATTGCATAGAAAGAACCCCCCACTCCAACCTAAAGCAAGTCTATGCCATTCATATAGTTTGGAGCGGTGGGTTCTTAATCATTCTTCTACTATTATTTCGTTTACTATTTTAAGCAACTACATAGGTGAAGCTGTTTACTGCAGAAAAACTAGCAAACATCTAATCAATTACTCAATATTCTTCACCCCTCAATGCAATTATGGCTTTTAGACAGAGTAAAAGCACGTATCAGAAGCCATTTGGAATCATATGTGCAGTAATAATAAAAGCATCACAGCAAGGATTTTGCTGATAAGCTGCACCAAAATCAGCAGGAGCTTCTCCACTGACATCAAGCCATTTTGTAGATCAAGTTTTCAGTTAAAGGAATTTGGTTTGTTCTCTCTCTCACTAGTAAGGAGTCCAAGATGTTTGGGGGCAGCCCCTAAGCTGTTACAGCTAATGTCATAGTTCCACAGAAGTGAAGTAGAGCTATAGTCATTTACACCAGCGGAGGACCTGCTGCTTGGAAATCAGAAGTAAACAGGAAACTCAAGCAGAACTACTCACACAGGATGAAATGTCTCCCTGTCCAAAAGACCAGCCAGTATACAATGTATCAGTGTTTCTCAAACTTTTTTTTTTATAAAGTACCCCTTTTTCAAAAAAACCATTATAAGTATCCCCAGCACCTACAGTTTTCAGACACAGAAAAAAAAATTTCTACCATTGCAACACATTTGTTTAAACAACTTAATTGTAGCCAGGCGAGCAATTAAATGTTTGGGTGTAAAAAGTACAAAAATAATAAACTGTAAAACTTAAAACAAAAATTCAGTTTTCTCCATATTTCAGTTGTGTTGACGTCCCCCCTAGACTTCTCTCGAGTATCGCTAAAGGTTCTCGTACCACTGGTTGAGAAACACTGCAATGTATTGTGAAAAGAAGGTGTTGAGGCCTACCCAGACTATGTCAAATGAGCACCAGTTTAATTGTAAGTGTAAAGGAAAGGCAGCATTGTGAGATACAGGCGATGTAAAATAAAAACAAAATTTGATTGGATAACCAACTGTAACCCCGCTTTTAAAGAAATATACAACAAAGTGCTGATTACCCCCAAATGAAGCAGACGAAAGCTTTCGAAAGAGCAAAATAAGACAACAAAAATTTAACGTCAGCAATTGTCAAGAGAGTGAAGAAATACCAAAATAAGGTATATAAGGTTGAATGAAACAAACCAAAAGTGGACGGGTTGCAAATCCAAAAAGCTAAGTCTAATCAACCAGGGCTCCCTCCCCGGCGCTAGATTTATTAAACTAACAATCAAAAATCAAACTGTAAAAAATGTAAACAAATCACCCGTAACAATTATAAACATATTAAATAATTTAAATAAAACAATTAATAAAAGTATAAAAAGTGCAATAAAATGAAAAGCAAGTGTTTAAAACTTTTTATCCCTGTTAATATAAAAAAATAGCTTTACATTGTTTGTGCAATAATAGTATTAATAATTGTAATAAAAATATTAAATATATGTAAAAAAATTTCCCCCAAACAGAAAAATATATAAAAATAAAACAAATAAAAAATAAGCAAATAGCAAATACACAAACACAAAAAGAAATAAAGTTATTGTCATTAAAGTATCTCATTTAACACAAGAAAATGTGAAAAAAATGTGTTAAAGCCTACCCAGAATATGTCAAGTAAGCACCAGTTTAATTGTAAGTGTAAAAAAAGCAGCATTATAAGATACAGAAAATGTAAAATAAAAACAAAATTTAATTAAATAACCAACAATAACCCCACTTTTAAAAAAGTAACTCAAACAACAATATGCAACAAAAGTACTAATTACCCCCAAATAAAGCAAACAAAAGTTTTTGTAAAAACAAAACAAAAATCTAATGTCAGCAATTGTCAAAAGAATAAAAAAATACAAAAATATCAAAACAAAGTATATAAAGTTAACTGAAACAAACCAAAAGCAAACAAGTTACAAATCCAAAAAACTAAGTCTAATCAACCAAAGCTCCCTCCCCGCACTAAATCTCACTGCCGCAAATAAACTCCCCCCCCCAAAAAAAAACCAACACCAGTGGTAAGTTACAATAAAAAATTTAAAAAAGAAACAAAGAAAAAATCATCTCCTAAATCTAAGCAATACTTCTATCTTTCTTAATGTAAGTAATATATATTTGTTAACTCCATAAATTGTTTAAAGATAAATCAAGAAAGCATATCTGTAAAAGAAGTTATTATTTCTTGTTTTTTTTTAACTGTACTGTTTTTCTACTTTTTATTTGTATATTACACTGTCTTAAAAGAATCAAAAATAGTAAATTAATTTAAATAAAACATTAATTATAAAGTAAATAAAACATTAAAAATCTTTGTTTAACCCTAAAAAAAAAATATTCCTCTGTCTATAGTTTCAAATCCTTTAAAAAACCAAACCCAGTTACCAAAATGTATGATCCTCTCAGATGCTATGTAAGCACTCAAAACTCATTTAAATGAGACTTAAGGGAGGCATAAGCTTTGCACTGCTCCTCTGCACGGGGGAGAATTTTACCACCAAGAGTAAAAACACCATCAAATAAATCACTGTGGAGGTGACTGATCAAAGTAGATAACCAAGCCTCAGAGATGTCTAGAATTACATCTGTAGGAAAGGAATGAGGAATATGCTGAAAAAAAATTGGACATTCGTCATTTCCAGATCATGTCATCTCTTTTTCACTTACAATGGATAAGACAGTGACTATATTGCTGATGGTTATAAATCTGTCAATGTTTCCAACTAACCTCATATTTTGAATGATCAAAAAAAATCATTCCACGCTTTAATACTGTATATTGTTTCTGAGCATGAGATGTATTATTTTTAACATACATAAATGCTACTGCCAAATTTCCTAGAAACACAGAGATGTGCTGAAAGGAGGAATGAGCTATAAATGGAGTGAAATTAGCTAATAAAAGGATTCTGAAATAAATGTTAAGGATTTTAACTCCTTAATTTAAGAACTATATTTAGACTGCAGTATTGTAAATAAACCACAGTGTGAAGGTGAAGAGCACAAGATAAACGAGTCCACAATTAGTCCAAATAAATCCAAAGCAAACATTTGTTCAACAACTTACTAATATTGATTTCTTCCTCATCATAAACATCCACTTCTGTCAGTCTAATCAACATTCTGGACAAGATACTAAGGAACTGAAGATAGGCTCCTGTTTTTCCTATCTGAAACAAACACACAAATCAGAAGCTGAAGAGTTGTTTATCACTGATGACATTCTGTCATCTCTTTAGAAACTTGAAATTGCAATGATTACTGTCATCTAATTTAAAAGTAGGTCAAAATCCAGCTCTTAAGTTCTGTTGCATGCACATGTTTATTCTTGTACATTCACAAGTTTATATGGCGTGATTAAGGACTCCGTTTACACAGATATTCAACTTGTGTGCAGGACATTAACACTCAAAATCAGGGGTGGGGAACCTTTTAGGGGTTGGAGGACACATACCCACAGAAAAATCAATTGGTGGTCACACAGAAGCGAGAAGCAAAAAAAAAAAAAAAAACCCTTCACATGACCCCAATGAGAAAACGAAAGACATTCCTCACATTCCCCTCACACACCAGAGCCTTGGAAAGCCCAGCCTAGTAGTTTTTGTGTGCTCCAGCTGTACAGCGGGGTAGCAAGGCTGCTGGAGTACCAGCTGAGCTTTCCAATGCTGGTGGGGGTCCCTAAGGGTATGTTTACACTACCCCGCTAGTTCGAACTAGCGGGGTAATGTATGCATACCGCACTTGCTAATGAAGCCCGGGATTTGAATTTCCCGGGCTTCATTAGCATAAGCGGGGAGCTGCCATTTTTAAATCCCCGCTGCTTCGAACCCCGTGTAGCGCGGCTACACGGGGCTCGAACTAGGGAGTTCGGACTAGGGTGCCTATTCCGACCTACCGTTACTCCTCGTGAAACGAGGTGTACCGGTAGGTCGGAATAGGCACCCTAGTCCGAACTCCCTAGTTCGAGCCCCGTGTAGCCGCGCTACACGGGGTTCGAAGCAGCGGGGATTTAAAAATGGCAGCTCCCCGCTTATGCTAATGAAGCCCGGGATTTGAATTTCCCGGGCTTCATTAGCAAGTGCGGTATGCATACATTACCCTCCTAGTTCGAACTAGGAGGGTAGTGTAGACATACCCTAAGTCTCCGAGGTCAGATCGAGGCAAGCCTGGGGCCACATCTGACTCTAAGGTTCTCCACGCCTGCTCAAAATATAGCATATGTGATACCTTTGAGATATAGGTACAAATAAAGTCACAATAGGCAACTTCTCTTCCCTGAACTACACTCTCTACAGTGGGCAGGAAAACACATAAGAACATAAACACATTTTTAATAAACTTAAAAAACAACAAATGGTCTGGTAGCCCTTTATAGACTAACAAAACATGTAGATGGTATCATGAGCTTTCGTGGACACAGCCCACTTCTTCAGATGACTGGAGTTTTATTGACTGGAATAGTTATTCCAAAATAACTTATTTCAAAATAGCACATCTACACTGCAGGGAAGCCTCAAAATTAGTCTGAGGCAGGCTTCCGTAATGTAGATGTGCTATCTCGATTTAGAGCCCCAGCAAGCACTGGGGAGGAATAACTTAGAATGGCCCTGGTGAAGAGTTATTTCAAAATAGCAGCAGTGGAGTGTTTAAACATGCCTTATTTCAAAATAGCTATTTCGGAATAAGCGTTATTTCTCATAGAATGAGGTTTACAGATTTTGAAATAAACTATCCGTTATTTTGAAATTATTTTGAAATAACAGAATGGTTGTGTAGATTGATTGTGTTTAGTTCCAGGAGAGTGTATTATGTACATTGTCTCTCTTGTTTGGAATTACTTCGGTGTGTCTTTATCAGAGTTTTCATTTAATCTGAAGTGACACTTGAATTTCCATTAAGACCATTTGCATTTTGTCAAAATTGGGTGAATCTAAAAGAGTCTCAGTTTGAGAATAATGATATGGAAAGTTTGACAGTAATAAGGTGACCCTAGCTCAGACATATGCACCTTATGAGATGGCAGGATCTCTTGCCATCAGGTACATTTTGATAGAACACAACTGCCTTAATGGGACAATAGCTTTCCATTTATTAAGTCATCTGTCAGCTCCAGAAAGCAAAATTCTAGAGCTTATGGATTTGCAGCATGACCTACTCAGTAAATGGAGCTGCCCGCAACGCTTGCTGCTGCTAACATTAGCTTTTACATCTAGCATCACTACCAAGGTAATTAAGATACCAAGTGGGGTAACTTTGCCTGTAAGAAAGCAGAGGTATGACAATCAATAACCTCAGACATATGGCAGTGCCCAGTGCCTTGTTAGATTAGATGTTTTGCGTTCTTTACAATCTTTTATCCTCCTTGATGTGGAATACTTACTCTGCTTCTTTTTCTGTCTACACAAAGTAGAAAGAGTGCAATCTGATGGAGAGAGAACAGCCAAGGCCTTGGAAGAAAAAAGGCTCAAGAAGAAGCAAACATCTCAAGGTTTTAGACCATTTATGAAAACTAAGACATGTAACACTGACATCTGCTCCCTCGTCTGATTTCTCTTTGGGTACACCTACACTTGCACCCTAGTTCAAAGTAGGGATACAAATGTAGGCGACCAAAATTGCTAATGAAGTGGGGATTTAAATATCCCTCGTTTCATTAGCATGATCTCACTGGCGCGTTACTCCGCTGAACAGCTGTTTCAAAAGTGACACATTAGTTTGAACCAAACCCGTTGGTTCAAATTAACGTTACTCCTCATTTTTTTTCCACTGATTTCAGACACTACACAGAAGGATGATTAACAGGAATTATTCTCAGATACTAAATCCTGTGTTATTAGCCATCTGACCACTTTATCATCATCACTGCTGCTAAAAAAAATGTACTTTCATATCTTTACATTTCAAAAAATATGGCAAATGGGAAAAAGCTTGTATTTTTTTTCTAATCCAGTTTCTTAAGAGACTGCAGCAATGGTTGTCAAAGGCCACAATTATACTTACTGGTGGATCGACACTCTAGAGGTCGATCTTCTGGTGTTCGATTTAGCGGGTCAAGTATATGGGTCTATACTAGACACACTAAATCAAAGGCCGAGGGCAATTCCAGCTGGCACCTGTACTAGTAAGGGAAGCCAATGGGACCATTTGTTCCCATCAGCCTCACATTGTGTGGATGATACGGAAACACAATTTAAGATGTCAACTCCAGCTAAATAGTTAACATAGATGGAGCTGCATATCTTACAGCCACTTTCCGCTGCCGTGTAGACCAGGCCAAAGTGTAGTCTGTAAAGCTCTTGTGGTTCACAGAAAACATGCTGATGGTCCATAGATGGTGCTCAGAAAGCTAAGAGATACATTAAATACTTTCCTAATATTACTTTCTCACGTGAGCAACAAGCTCTAGAAATTGGAGATCTTATTTGTAAGTGGTAGAGGAGGTGGTGTTAGTAGTCATTGATGGGAGGTTGCCCTGAAGACAATCTTTCTATTAGGCTGTTGGTTCACACAAAAGTGCTGTTTCTAGGGTATAAAAACATGACAAAAACTCAATAGCAATAGCAACAAACCTCTTTCATGGAATTTCAAAACATATAAAAATCTTGTCTTCCAGAAAAAAAAATTCAGTGAATTTAGTGGTCACAAATATTTGAGCATCCTGGGAAATGAATTTATATCCAGAGAACAAGTGAACTTTTTCACAGTACTGCACATTTATCTATACTGCCTCGGCAGTGTCTTAAAATTCTTGTAGAAAGACCACCCCAGCAATCAAGTAGCAGTACTATCTCTACAACTTTTTATTCCTTGCCCTCTGTTAATACTCCCAACAAGAAAAATAATTTATTTGGTGGATATCTTAATTTGGTCACTTGTTTACTAAAACGAGTCTAACAACTCCTTTCACATGAAAAGAATTCTTGACAATGGACATGAAGATAAAACATTTTCTACAGAAAGTTGACTTCTTTCCCTCATTAATTTCCAAAACCATTCCCAGGGGATCTGAAAGGCAATTGGAGTAGATCATTACACAAAGCCTTAATACTATGAACCTACAAACAAATCTTGAGACGAGACCATCCAAACCAGAATGTTATTCAAGAATGCGTTCAAGTGGAATCAAAAGACTATAAACAGCTTGTTGAAAATACTTTTGGACCAAGATAAAATTATATCAGGACAATCTAGAAGTGAAGGTCACCAACCATAGACCTTGAGAAGAATCCATGGTAATGTCTGGAACACCACAGAAACATGCAGCCTTCAAGACCAAATGCCAGATGATTTTCTTACCTCACTGTTAAAAAAAATTGGTGCAAAAGTTTGCATTAATGAAACAAAACTTTATGAGTTTCTATGAGTGCCACAGGTTGAGAATCTAAGGTGGACGACGGATGAGAAACAAGACTTTTTAGAAACTAAAAGTACCAGCAATATTACTCCAGAGACCAGTTAAAGTAATGGCTCCATTAGAATAGGGTGAATGTTCCAGATTTAATAGGTCTGCCACTTGAAGCATCTTCTCTCCTTCCTTTTATCCTTAGATTTGTCTTTCTGGATAAAGACAGAAATCTTAAGAAATGCAGATGTAGAGCCTTCATTCCCTAAGGATTTGGGTTCACTAGCTAGGGTGAGAGAATTTCTCTCCATATTTAATTTAAAAGAAGCAAGATAAAGGGCTTCTGAGAAAAAGTAGTACTGAGATTAGATAATGTCTAGTTTATTTTGCCCCTTTTGTTCTTATGGACGTACTCACACTACTGGTTGATGTCTTTACATGCAGTTTTTAGCCATAGTTTGTTATTGGTATTGTGGTATCATCCAAAGACCTCAATGGAGATCGAAACCCTATAGTGGTAAGGGCTGGAATATATCTTGGCTGGAAAGGAGCTATATATGAAGCATTTTAGCCAGCCTGGCAGGTGCTATATATATGTATGCAGCAGGACTGACAGCCTCACCAGGCCTCTGGGCAACACGGGAAGCAGAATGCTCCATGCCTCTGACAGGAGTGGTGCCTCAGGTGGAAGAGATGAGGTGGAGTCTCAGCACTGCGCCATGCCTCCCCCCAGGCAGCTCTGAGTGAACCGCATGGCACTCCAGCAGCAATTTAAAGGGCCTGGGCTTCAGCCGCAGCCACTACCTTAGAGGTGGTGGCCAGGAACTCCGGGATCTTTTATATCACCAGGTCGCAGAGCAGTTGCCATTACTGGTCCCTTTTTGCCAGGCATGAGAGAGAGGAGGAGAATTCCTAAATGCTAAACATTTTGGCAGTGATATTTATTCACTACTTTTGTTCACCGGGAAGCTTGATGTTTCTTAAACTGACTTTTTACGTTGTATGGTAAGATAACAACAACAACGACTTTTTAGTGTCTGGAAGGATTGTGCCACCAATTCAGAGATCTTCCCCCAGCTTAGTACTCTGGTTGAATTGCTATTTATATGCTTAGAATGGCATATCTAATAGTTGATCTCTGTCAGCTAATATAAATTCTGGCTTTTTGTGGTTATAGTTAGTGGGTCAGTGTTACAAAAACTAAAAATCTAAGTCTTTGCTTTTAGCTTGGATTTATCTCTAAAGAGCTCAGGCAAGATATTATGGTGCTAAAATCCTCTGTGGATTCCTCTTAATGCAGTAGGTAGCATACTCCACATATATTGTAATGGTTATGATATAAAACAAGCTCATGAGCAGAACACACTTCTGGAAAGAGAACAATTTATTTCCAAAGTGAGAGAGGAGCTCACATTTGCTATCTGTTTTCTTTCACCTTTCCATTGGAATAGATGCCATTCTACCATACCTTACGCCAAAAACAACCAACATTCTTAACTGTTTTGGAATTTTTAGAATATATTCCCTTTAGTATGTTTGGCATTTAGACATTAAATGGAGCTAAACAGCCATATCCCCCAATATACTAAAATGAGAATATACCCTGAAAAATGAAACACGTAAGAAAATGTAACATTTAATTCTTGATTTCCTCCATAAAATATTCACATGAAACGTGTGTATTCAGGAAAAACTGGTGAATATGCAATAAATAAATGCATGGAGAATATTTTTAAGGCCTGATCCAAATCCTATTAAAGTCAATGAAAATTGCAGATCAGAACCTTTGTTCTGGAGACAATTAGAGAAGAGATAGAGTTGCAGAATAGAGTGTTCTTCTGAGGCGAAATTTGCCTCTATGCAGAGGGCCAACCCATGTCCTATGCACCAGTTAATACCTCAAAATCAGGCTTGCACTCATGGCCCAAGAAACAGACAAATAAAGAAGCCAACTGTTTTCTGCATATACGTGGCCAATTACAGATATCATAAATAGAGCCTTGTGCGGATATACAATTTGTATCCACAACTGCAAAAATGTGCCATGGATATCCGCATTCATGGATGCTAATACCTGCATATATATAAAATGGATATCCACAAATAAGTGGAGTTCTAGATACAAAATTCGTATCCACAATAGTATCTGCAAAAATGAGCCACAGGTATCTACAGATTTGCAAGTTTCTAGCCATATGTATTAAGGGTCTTCTATTCTCAGATGAATACAGACCTCCCACTGTCTCTGAGAACCACAAGCATACAACTGTGGGCAGAAATCACTTGTCTTGCAGCCAAATTAATGCCATAGTAATACAAACTACTACATATGGGTTATTTTGTGCCCTTGTTGTAACTTTGGGAATCATAACTTTGAACTTCTCCATTTAAGTGCACAAAATTCCAACCAAAATTACATCAGTGTATGTTCTTCTTGAGTCTGGAAACAAACTAGCTATCTGAGGCCCAATATATCAGGTTTTACCTTGTCTGTATTTACCATACATTCATCTCTATTGAACACTTACTGCTTTAATCCACAGCAAACAGAGAATTTTGGTCATAGAGATGGAGAGCAATGAATAGATGTTCTTCGGTGATCCATCTGGTACCCTCTATACATTTAGAGTAGCACTTGCAAGTGCCTGTATATTTCAAATATATAGAGCCAAATTATACTCTTACCCCAATGTGACACCACCTATTTCAATAAACTGTACCTATTAAACTGGAAGTAAAACATGATCTTTTCTGTACTGAGACCTCTGCAATACACGGGTACAGAAAAGTGAGTGGTAGATTGAACTCTGGCCTCCTGTGGTTTTTGTTAGGAGTAATGTTACAAAAACTGTTACATCTTTGTTACGTCTTTGACTTAGTTTTAAATGATTTCTAATTTGAGGGCTGACATGTTACATAAAGCTTCAGTGGAACATTTAGTAGACAGTATGTACATTGAATTGTAGAGATACCATACTCATAACTGCATGCTAAATATTCTTAGGGAATTTACAAGGAAAAATACTCCCTGATATCTTTACCTTCATCCAAGTATCCTTACAAAGTCATTTGAAAAATGTTGGGACAGAAGCTATCTCTGTTGAAGCGGGTCTGTCCAAACCACGAAGGAAATGGCTGAACCTGTCACGTTCACACCCTAATCAACTTGACCATAAGAAACTGACCCTGTGTGACTGTTCAATCTTTATTAAAAATTTAACTCCCATTTGTCTGTAACAAGCTGCAAGGGACAGCACAATGTGTAAAAAAAAATGGAAAAAAGCATAAATTTCCGTAAAACATAGCACTAATCGCATGAAGGTTGACAACAACAAGAACAAAAAGATATCACGACAGCTTAATTGTCCTTGGCTCAAGTTAACAGTGAGGTGAGAAAGATCATTTCACTAAGGCAGATACAGTAATAAAAACATAAGAAAGGGTTTTTTTCCACCAGTGAAGAAATTAAGTCAGGTAGGAATAATACTCTCATTAATTTAGCACTTAATGAGATCAAGACAAAATTAATAAAAATAAAACAATGATAATAATACCCTATTCTTATTACACACCTGAGGTGGCCCACTCAGCAGCAGCCTCCTTGGGTGAAAGGTGTCCATTCTGCCCTCATTTCTATTATTGTAGTCCATATGAATTGGCTTGGGAACTGTCCACTGGCGATAGTATAGAGACTGCTCCGTGCAAGTCATCATTTTACTCATGACCGGGCGGAAAGAACTTGCCCACATGACAGAATGGTAAGGCAAGAGGGAAGATGATTTGGGAAGTCCGCTGCTGTCAGTAGAGGTAATAATGTCATATACCAGTTTAGGCAGGAAAACGATGGGGGGTTGTTTCGATGCTTTTGTCATGGAGCACTGAGATGTCTGCAGGATGAAGGTGTTGTGAGTAGGTGCAGAGGAAGAGGAAGAAGACGAGAAAGGTGATGAGGATGAGTTGATGGAAATTTGGGCACTTTTTATGTTCTGTTTTGAATCCAGCTGTTCAGCTGCAGCTGGCAAGTGCTTGCTGATGACCGTTTGCGCCCCCTTTTCTACTTTCTGCCTTTGCCTTTCGCAGTTGTGTGTGCTCTCTTCAGTACTGCTGCTTAGGACTTGGTGGGGTGACTTTGCTACATCCCCTGGTGTTGCTAACAGAGGAGAGGATTCAATGCAGAACGTGGCACCTAAAAACAAAATCTGGATTTCAACATGGGGTAGAGTGATCCTTCAGCAACTACCTTGAACCACAACATTTCTATTCCACTTTTCATAGTTAAACCACACTAAACAATAGACATGATGTGAAGACATCAACAACACTGCTCCTGTTGGGCCATCCTCACTCACGCAGAGAGTCTTATTGAAACTAATGGGAGTATTTGTGTGAATAAGCCTATGAGATTTTGAGTACTAAAATCCATGGGGAAAAGCTCCCACTGATTTCAACACTGAGCCTTACATTTGTTAAATTTCCCATTTCTTCATGAAATTTTAAAATATATATAACTTTAAAAAGCATAATATTCACAGACAGTGTTCCCTATAACCTGAGTGCTTGGGTGGTCACCCAGGAGAGATTCAACTGCCATGCAGCAGATTAGCAGAGCTCCCACAGCACCCACAGCCTGCAGCATGTGTTTCTATTGGTGGTGCAGAACTGGTCATGCTGTGGTGCACATAACAAAATGTATTCTGCATACAAATGGAAACAATTAGAGGAAGCCTTGTTCACAGGTTATTTCCTTGGACTATAATGGTTTTAACATAGCCATGATTTTGATCCTATTAACATTATAATTATCAGCATTCTGGAAGCTGAGGGCTTGATCCTAGGAGTTGTAAGCATCTCCAATACTCAAAGATTTCAAAATGGAGATGCAAATAATCAGCAGTTCTCAGATCAGCCTTTCAAAACAGTTTGTCAAGGTGCTGATCTCCGCAACACTTATTGGAATCTCCCCGCAAGCAAAAAAAGCAAAACAAAGCAAAAAGTGACTGTCAGCACTGATGTAAACAAACACAATCCCATAAAACCAAATAGATTTCAAATGGCTAATTCAGGACATGCACCAATTTTTAGTACCACCAATTTTTAGCCATTGCTTCAGACATTCACTCCTGGGGGAATTCTGTACCACTGCACACATGCAGGAATCATGTCCCCCACAGAGGGTTTTCTTTTTCCTTTTCAGAGAAATACATTGTGCTGGGGAGGCACACTGCAATTACACCTTGTACCCACCAGGGCCTGTTGTAGCATTAGAACAGGGGGCAAAAAAGCTTATGAGCCAGAGCAGCCATGGAAAAGGAGACAACAGATGCTGCTTTTCTCACAGTGATATACCTGGAGTTCAGAAGAGCTAGTGGGAGGAACAGACTGGGAGAGGAGCACACGACCTAGTGGAGAGACAGTACTGAGCCAGGGACTGAGTAGTAGCGGGCTATAAAGACACATGTGCCTGGGGGAAACAAGGTGCAGGAAAAGACAGGGGCAGGACAGATGTGCCTCAATGATTGGATAGGCAGGTGTCATCCAGGGTCTGCATTGGAGAGGCTCCCCAACTCTCAAATAATTCCTCCAAAAAACACCTGTTTTATACTTCCACGCACACCAACAACCCTCCAGATTCACTCCCAGATTGTCAGAAATGAATTCCCTCTCCCTCCGCTCCTGCATTACCCTAAGCTCCCCTAAACCTTTGCACTGCTTCTGAGAGGTGCAGGAAATACATTTTTGTACTGTAGTTTAAATGAAGTATTGACAAACACACACATTTCTAAAAGAGCACCGTACACTGAAAACATTTTCAGCACCCATTCTAGTACCCCAACCCCTCCAAAAAAAAAATCATGAGCATTTTTCAGGCAAAATTTAGGAAGGTCTTTTGAAAATGCAGAGGTAGGTCCTCAGCTGGTGTGAATTGTCATGGTTCCAGTTATTTCAAATGGAGCCCTAACAATTTGTACTAGCTGCAGATCTGCATGTTGGTACCGGACATAAACAAATATTGAAGAACATTTCTCTCGATACAGTATTTTATATAATACAGTGAGTCCCTCGCAGACCTGTACAATGGCCTATGCATTCATGGATCAAGCACATCTAATTATTTTTGATCTGAGGAGTAAGATTCTTGAAAGCTTGGAGTTTTTTAAAGGTAATGGTTAGTGCGTTCATAAAAACAGGTTTTGCCAAAAACCTAATGATTTGTGTCTTTTGTTTTTCGTTTGTCAGGAGAAATGAATTGCCACATTTGCATCCTAAAAGCATCATAAAGTCTTACTTGAAGCTTTTGAAGAGAGAGATGAAGATGCAGAGTCATGGGAGCGTGATCTCTCTCTTTTGATGGGACTTCTCTTTTCTGAAGTGGAACCTGTTTCAGGAGAAGATGGAGGATAAGGGAGAATTACAATTCTAAAGACCAGTTCTCAGCTATCACCAAATTGAAGGGATGCTGGGCAAAAGTGGCTTAAAGCTCCTCTAGATGCCCCGATTCAGATGCTATTGATTGTAGCTGTTCTTCCTAAGCTGTAGTTGAGCTACAATAGCCTTGTAGAGCCAAAAATGCAGCCAAGAGCTGGTATAGAACAGGAGTATCTAGTCCCTATTCCCTCTTCACTAATCATGCCTCCTTTGAAGTATGAGTGACACACTAGCCCCTATGTCAGTGTTTCTTAAGCTTTTTTTGACCAAGGAACACCAAACAAGGATTTGTTTGTTGAACAAAAATTTTTAAAAAAAGTTGCCTGCCCCTTTAAGTGTGGCCATTTTGAATTCTGTTCTTCTCCACGGTACACCTCTGACTGCCTTGTGGCACACACAGTTTAAGAAACATTTCCCTATGTGGTACTGCCAGGTGACGACCCTTAAAAAGGGATGTAAGACCATCTTTAGAGCTGAACTGTTCTTTTCTCTTTGGTAACAATATAATTTCATTCCCCTCTCCAAGCTGCTGATGAGAAGTACATCTGTTAATTTTGGTCCTCATTCTGCTACCCTTATTTGTGTTGAATAACACCTTATTCATTTGAGCAGCCCCTTCAGTGTGACCATCACGTGTCCTCTCTGTGCTTCAGTTCTCCCATCCGTAAAATGGGTAAAATAATGACTTTTCAAAGGTTCTGAGGATCAACTAATTAATGTTAATAAACATTCCTTGCATTCCTCAGTTGTAAGACTGTATAGTACGTACAGATAAAATTATCTGGTAAGTTTAATGCCAAAAGTTCACAAGCTATCACTGTAAAGTCAGATAATGTCTCCCAATCTTTTGCAGTACCCAGCATTACTAACTGTTGAATACTTATCTACTTACTGTTCCCTTCCATTTACTATTCCCTTCCCTTGCTTTGCACTTTGAAAGGCTAATATCCAAAGGCTAATATTAGCTGAAATGTATGGTACTGGCATTAAATTCACAAGCTGTGTTAGAATACATTGTAGGAGAACTGGAACTACAGACATTCATTTACCTTCTGTTGCTATTTCTTCATCTTCATTATCAGTACTGCTCAATTTCTCTGGGTCACTCTCCAACACATCATTCACAACCACTTTCTCTATGTGGATTTCAGAGCTAACAAAGTATGCTGCCAAGCCAAGCTCTTGCTCCAAGGCTGTTCTTAATAAGCAAGAGGAATTTATTAAACGTAGGTCACAATATCTCAATGATCTGGAAATAAACCAAAAGATACTATAAAAACTCACTGTATTCGCCACCTTTATTATTATTATTATTATTATTTTGCAAACATAGACAGTTAGGAATTTTGCCATTGCCTACTTAACTGATATGTGAGATAGGACAAAGTGATATGAATTCACCAATATATGGTTTCATTATTATTGCTTGAACTAATATAGTCTAATGTACTAAGCATAAGTCCTGACTCTGACACTTACTTTCTTGCTAATCTAGCACATGTCACGTAACCTCTTTGACCTAATTTATAAGCATGCGCAACACTGATGTTGATGGAGGTTGCACCTGCTTACCCCAGGGCTTAGTGGGACCTTTTTGTGTCTTGGTTTCTTCACTTATAAAACAGGACTAATTGGGAATGCTGTGAAAATGAAAGTCCACACCCCGCAGCTCCACCTCACAACTATTACTAACAACCTGCTATACCACAAATGTTCCACTGGATACAGAAACTACCAGAAATCATTCTGTCATACAAATGTCACCAGACTTTGCATCTTATCGGACACAGTAGGTTGCAGAAAGGTTTTTCAGCCATTTGAAGAGTGCAGAGAAAAAGAAAGTTGTGAAGCATTGGGAATGAACAAATGTCATGGAAATATTTGTCAATTCCTTCCTACCTTGGCAAAGCTTCCCCTTGAGGATCCATTCCACTAAATATTAATATGCAAGGCAGACCTTCTAATTCCAAATAGGTCTGTGGCCTCCACTCCGCATCTTCAATTTTCTGCCACATCTATCATAGAACGTAAAAACGTTTGTGGGCAAATTTATATGGCACAATTAAAAATGAAGAAACAAATGATTAATTGCCTACTGTACAGACCTAATTCTGCAGATATTGCACATGAGAAATCATTGCAGAATCAGGCCCTAATTTGAAAGGTCCTGATTTGAAAAATCGTCTTGTCTTCTTTCAGAAGTTTTATATCAATGATTGACTGTCCCATAACATGCTTATATTTTAGAACGCTAATGAATTGTTACCATAAGTGGCTAATTATAGATCCAAATGCTCCTCTGGGAAACATGAGAAAACATTGTGAAGATGTATAGCTTGATCTTCAAAGACAGAAAACATGTTACTCACTATAAAGGTGTTTATTTGTTGATTCGGTTTCCTAACCACAGCTGTCAGTCCCCTTTTGACAGCCACGTCCATTGGATGATATCTTTATTCACACTGATTAGTACCTGGTCAGTGAGATTTCTTGATTAGTAAGGTACTACTCAGTGGGCAAAAAGGTATCACTATCTGGCCCTTATTTATTCAGTAAGTACTAACAATACCGTGCTGCAGAAGACACCTAAGAGAATATGGCATGTGATTCTGAATTCACTTATCTCAGCTTTAAAACACGGTGTTATTCATGATTTGTAGGAGAATGAGCAAAATGAGGCCCTTTTCCTCTGCTCTGTGGAGCGAAGTAGGCAGACAACATAATTCAGATTTGGAATGGTAAAAACAATTTTGGGAATATAATTTTTTGTTTTAATAGCTGTGTGATAGCATTTCTACTAAGGGGAGTTGTGTCTATGGACATGTGTGATGCTTAAGGACAGACTGTGCATGGCTGTCCTTACCCATATGTAGAATATGCAATTGCATAGGGCACCTGGAAATGTGGGGCATCACTAGGTTTTAATGTCCACCCACCTGCCTCTTCCTATCCCTGTTCTGTGGCTTTGCTTCCTCTGGAGAGGAGCTAGTTAACTTAAAAGTCAAAAAAGCCTGCCACACCTATTAGCAGAGACTGAGTCTGTGAAAGAGCCATTAAGTGATAGTGAAACCATTTAACAAACATTTGCTAATGCCAGGTATATACTGTCAGATTTTGAATTTACTGTATTAGTCCACAGGGGCTTGAGTTTAAAATCTGCTTTAAAAATATTTCATTAGTCTATTGCTGAAGATCAAAAAATCACATCTCTAAAAATTGTCCCCTCCCTTTCCCTGGCTGCCATCAAGCATAGGGGCACTAGCTTATTAGCACTGCTTAGGGTCCCATAAATCCTAAAGATAGCCCTGAGATTATGTGATTATAACAGTCCTTTCCAGCCTTAAAAAAAAAATCTATGAATCTATTTCTTCCAGCATTTTCATATTCAAAAATCACATAAGGTCCAGAAAACATTAGGCATCATACTTGGAAAACCTGGACTATTCAGGGACCCATGGGTAGGCTTACTGATCTGAAACCTTTATGACTGATAGTTAAAACCAAAGCAGACTGTGGAGAGCTTCAAAAGGTCTCACCAAACTAAGTGATTGGGCAACAAAATGGCAAATGATTTGTAATGTTGATAAATGCAAAGTAATGCACATTGAAAAAAAATAATCCCAACTATACATACAATATGATGGGAACTAATTTATCTACAATTACTCAAGAGAGATCTTGCAGTCATTGTGGATATTTCTCTGAAAACATCCACTCAGTGTGCAGTGGCCATCAAAAAAGCTAATAGAATGTTAGGAATCGTTAAAAAAGGAATAGAGAATAAGACAGAGAATATCTTATTGCCGCTATATAAAACCATGGTACACCCACATCTTGAATACTGTACACAGATGTGGTCACCTCATCTCAAAAAAGATATATTGGCATTGGAAAAGGTTCAGAAAAGGGCAACAAAAATGATTAGGGGTTTAGAAAGGGTCCCATATTTAGAGAGATTCAAAAGACTTGGACTTTTCAGTTCAGAAAAGAGAAGACTAAGAGGGATATGATACAGGTCTAAAAAAAAATCATGACTATCATAACAAGTACAGAAAAAGTGAATAAGGAAAAGGTACTTACTTATTCCTACAATATAAGAAGTAGGGGTCACCAAATAAAATTAATAGGCAGCAGGTTTAAAACAAACAAAAGGAAGTTTTTCTTCACTCAACACAGTCAACCTCAGTGGAACTCCTTGGCAGAGGATGTTGTGAAGACTAGGACTTTAACAGGGTTCAGAAAAGATCTAGACAGATTCATGGAGGTTAGGTCCATTATGGCTATTAGCCAGGATGGGTAGGAATGGTGTCCCTAGCCTCTGTTTGTCTGGAAATAGATGACAGGAGAGGGATCTCGTGATGATTACCTGTTGTTTCCTCCCTCTGGGAAATCTGGTATTGGCCATAAACCTTTGGTCTGACCCATTATGGCCATTCTTATGACTATTAAGCTGGGCAATACAATTCAAACTGGTCACTGAGGTTTGCTCACTAGGGGAAACCTGACTGCTCTGGTAAAGCAAACCAAAAATAGCTTTCATATTCACTTGGGCTTTTGCCACTGTGATGATTCACTGAAGACACGGTCCAGTGCAATGTGTGGTTTGGAGTTCTAATCATATTTGTCAAGGCCCTCCTGAGCAGCCATCCAAAATGGACTGCAGGAATAGGAATGTCAGATGGATGTGTCTAATAGTCAGGAGTCAGACTCCTTAGAGAATTTTAGTTATGCTGGAAAATAGCCATCTTCATCACTGATGTCTCAGTCTCATGCCAATAAAATCTGTGCTAACCCAACCCACCCACTGAAAGCCCAGAGATTCTGTCCAGGAAATGCCATTCTGCAAGTTACCTTTAGTTGCTCCACAAAGTGCTTCCCTATGGTGATTCCAGAGTTAGGTTTTCCCAAGATGATTTCAAAATTATCTGCAAGGGATAGTCTTTCCCTTATATGATAAAGTCGTTCATAGGCCACAACAGCCAAAGGAATGCAAGGAATTCTTAACACTACCATGAAGCCATGACCACTGGAGCATTGCTTTGAAGAGTTTATTAGGTTCTGGGTGATTTCCAGAGTTTCAACTGAGGTGTAATTCTTCATCTGAGACAGACCACTTACTGCCATCATAGCTGCAGAGTAATGCTGTACGAGGACAAATGTCCTTATCACTGCGCTGTGTAATCTGGGAAATCTGAAATAAATTGTGAAGCATTAAAATCCTAGAAGTAAAGTGAGAATGCTGCCCTTGTAAAAATTATTAACACTCAAAATTTAATCCAGGTGGAAAAGTCATGCCAAACACACAGTAGAAGCTCACTGATCCTCACTAATCTTCAAACCCTATCATTCCAAGACCAATTCACAGTCTGTCCACGTCTCAGTAAAGAATTAATAGCTAAGTGGAAAAGTGAAGTTACATTACCTCTGTTGTTATTAAGACTTCATCTCATTTGCAAAACATACTATTGAGTATTTGCTAGAGCACTATACAGTAATATTAATCAAAACTAAAATGCACCTGGTCCAGGTTTTCCAAGTACAATGCCTAATATTTCCTGGACCTTATTCATATATATGAATGTATCCTTGCTTTTTACTCATGTTCACTCGTGTAAGATCTGATTCAACTACTTCTAAAATCAATCGAAAGAGCTGGTTTGAGCCCTAATACAGATTCCCCCCCGGCCGTTAGTACAGTTTTGCAAAGTTCTGCTTGCTCAGTCTTTTATTTCTTGCACACCGTAAGCCCCGCATAGAGTCTGACCAGAATTTTGTGCCTGCAAATTATACCTAAATAGCAATCACTATGGCCATACGAGAAGTCCTGTGGCACTTTATAGACTAACAGATTTATTGGAGCATAAACTTTCGTGGGCAAAGACCCACTTCATCTGATGCATCTGACGAAGTGGGTCTTTGCCCACGAAAGCTTATGCTCCAATAAATCTGTTAGTCTATAACGTGCCACAGGTCTTCTCATTGTTCTTGCAGATTCAGACTAACACGGCTACCCCTCTGATACTATGGACATAGTTACTCCATGTTTTTAATCTGTATCCCTCCGTATACAGCAAATCAGCTAACTAACTTCATGTTTTTGAGCTTTGATGATGTTCTATAGCATTCTCCCTAACTGGGTCTTTCATTGATTTAACTCCATGAGCCAAAGTGAAATCTCACCTCCTCTTTGTGGTCCCACTAAAATATTTACAAATGTTATATGTTAAAACAGTTTTTTGATAGCCATCCAAGTTCAGAATGGAATCAAACTCCCAATATTGAATAAATAACACCTGTGCCTAAGCACAGAAAAAATACTGCAAACTCTAGAATGAGAACTCCTGGTAGCCACAATGCAGCTGTTTAAACCCACAACTTTTGACCATTAAGGCAGTTGTGCTGTATGTTAGATACTCTGATACATTTTGGTGTGTTAATTCATACATAAACTAATTAAGTTAGGCTACGTCTATACAGCAGCACTACTTCAGGATACCAGAGGTATCCCAAAATAGCTATTCCCCCTCTTTTGAGTGTGCCCATTATTCCAAATTATCATGGGCTTGCTATTCTAATGTCCCTGTAAATTTTATTCCAGAAGGAGCAGGAGATGTTTTGGAAAAGCTATTTATTTAAAAAATTAGTGCTGTGTAGACAGTGCCAAATTTTGAAATAAGCTATTTTGAAATGGACTTGAAATAAGCTACGCAATTTGCGTAGCTCAAATTGCGTAGCTTATTTCGAGCTACAGCTGCAGTTTAGACACACCCTTAGTTACAGTAAGGGCAGGGAAGCAGCCAAAAAGTATTAGCTGGGGTTAGTTAATTTCTAACATTGCACTTTGAACATAAGATTTGCTTGTAATGTTGTTTCTGTAGTGCCTATGGGCCTCAACCAAAACCGGGATCTTATATAGAAAGAGAGTGCCTCTGTCCTAAGTAGCTTCCAGTCTAAATAAAGACAAGGTAGGACCACAAAAGGAGGCAAAGAGAGGTAATATGATTTGCCCTAGGATGTTCAACAGGTTGGTGGCAACGCCAGAAATAGAAAGAACCCAGGTGTCCTGATTCGCAGCCAAGTATCCCCACCCTGTGGACCAAATTTCATAATGTTTTAAACCAAAAAATGTATTGTACCGTTTTCCTAAAGCCATGACCATAGCTTCAAAAGAGCTGTCATATCGAAGCAATGGAAGGCTGTGCCCAGAAAGAGTGGATTCAATGAATTCTGACAATCCAAAGTATTTCTTGTTTTCATGGTATAGATCTATTCCCTAAAGTAAATAAGATAACAACAATTTAAGGATGCAACTTATATGTAGATTATAAATAATTCATCAATATACCATCTATAGACATTCTTTATATCTCATACATACACACTAACACACACAGACATACATTTAAAAAACAATCCATGGATCTATTCACTCACATTCATGCTCACAATATGGTCATTCTCAGAAGGTTTAAATTGATGTTGTTCCAATGACTTCAATGAAGCTTACTTACAAATAAGCGAAGCTCATGATCTGGGTAGATTTATACATTATGTGTCTTCCACACAGCACAAAAACTGCACCATTCTGAACTGCTTGACACATCACCTTTCCGCACCTCAGTAAAAGTACATGCCAAAACAAAAATGTCTGAAGAAAATCTTGAAAAAATGTCAGAAAAACAGCTAGGGAACTTTTCTGATAGTAAGTAAAATGTGCTGGTCCAGCTTGCACGCATGAACGACATTCTGGTTATTCCCATGTATCAGCATATGAATTAAGCCTAAATGAAAGGTATCAGTAGTATGGATAACCATGGGGAGATGTGTAAGCAAGAGGAAAGATGAAGATTTAATGAACACTTTTATGAGCATCTTGCTTTCTCAGAATTCAAAAATGAAGATTGAAACCTGTGATTGCAAACCACTTTGTAAGAAGCAGGAAAATGTTACTAGTGCAGGGAGCAGTCATGGTCTTTATTACTTCCTCTGAGCAGTCAGGATCATACCCCATCCCCCGCAATATTTTAAATCTACTTACAAATGTTAACGAATATTTGCAGAAAGTTTATGGATGCGTAATACAGCTGGTGGTTATGTTAGCTCTGGCTGAAACAGACTGGGGCTCAAAAGGACACTGTGGGACTCCTTGCCAGCCACGAAGTGTAGAAGCCGCACAGAAAGAAAGGCATGACTCAAGAGACTTGTATGATGGTATCAGTGTTCATAGAGAGGGAACAAAGATGCTGCTCACAATCTGATCTACAAATGAACATCTTCATTTCTTTTAGGCCTGAGCAGGCCTGGTATGAAAAATTGGCATACCTGACCAGGGTGAGTAGCTTACCAAAAAGGGGTGAAAAGAAAGAAAATTTGTATCACTACATAAAGTATCCCCCTTCTCAGTAGCTAATGATCACATAGGGTACGTCTACACTACAGCGCTAGTTCGAACTAACTTAGTTAATTCGAACTAAGCTAATTCGAACTAACGCATCTAGAACTAAAAACTAGTTCGAATTAGCGTTTTGCTAATTCGAACTAGCAAGTCCACATTGAGTGGACTCTGAACAGGGCTTAAGGAGGGCCGGAAGCAGTGCCGGCAGGGCATCAGAGGAGGACTTAGAGCATGGAGATGCTGTCTCAGGCTAGCCGAGGGCTGCGCTTAAAGGGTCCCGACCCCCACCCCGGACACACAGTTCTAAGGGGTGCCCCGCTTGCAAAGAAGTTCTGGCTTGGAGTGCCCTGAGTGCCCACACTGGGCACATCACACCACTCGGCCATCAGCCCGGCTGCACTTGCCGCAGGCTGCCATCTGGGGAGAGGGAGTAATTGGGGGGCTGCAGGAGAGCTTCCACCCCCAGAAGCCCGCAGAGCCAGCCCAGTCCTCCCCATCGGGGGCTCATACCCCATTCCTCCCTCTCCTCCTTCCACTTACCCTTCCCTAGCCCCCCTTCTTATTGATGTACAAAATAAAGATAACGTTTCTTCCAACATTGACTCTGTCTTTATTGAAAAAAACTGGGGGAGACTGGGAAAAGGAGGTGGGAGAGGGGAAGAGAAAGGCTGGGAGAGGGGAGGGCAACTAACATGATCAGGGGTTGGGAACAGGTCCCAGATGAAGAAAGGCTACAGAGACTGGGACTGTTCAGCTTAGAAAAGAGGAGACGGAGGGGGGACAGGATAGAGGTCTCTAAAAGCAGGGGTTGGGTGGAGAGGGTGCATTCAGAAAAGTTCTTCATGAGTTCCCATAAAGAAGGACTAGAGGACACCAAAGGAAAGGAATGGGTAGCAGGCTTGAAACTAGTAAGAGAAAGTTGTTCTTCACAAAGCAAATAGTCTACCTGTGGAACTCCTTGCTGCAGGAGGCTGTGAAGGCTACAACTAGAACAGAGTTTAAAGGGAAGTGAGATCAAGTCATGGAGGTTGGGTCCATGGAGTCCTATTAGCCAGAGGGTAGGAGTGGTGTCCCTGCCCAAAGTTTGTGGAAGGCTGGAGAGGGATGGCACGAGACAAATGGCTTGGTCATTGTCTTCGGTCCATCCCCTCCAGGGTCCCTAGGGTTGGCCGCTGTTGGCAGACAGGCTACTGGGCTAGATGGACCTTTGGTCTGACCCAGGACGGCCATTGTAAGCTCAGGGCTCAGGGTCGGGGGTCTCAGTGGACCCCCTTGATTTTCATGCACACCTGGTCCTGGGTGGCCAGGCTGGCAGCCCTCCTGCCCTAGACGGCCACTTTCCTGTGCCTAGTGCGGAGATCGTGGACGAGGTCCACGATGTCCTCACTAGCCCAGGAAGGTGCCCTCCTCTTGCGGTCCAGGGCAGTAATTCACTTGCACCTGGCACGGGCACCGTAGCCAGCCCGTGCCCCTTTAAGGGGTCCGGGGCCGGGAGGGGGGCAGACGAGTTTCCCTGGTGTTGGCCAGAGTGGCCACCAGGGAAACCTGGGGAGGGCTAGCCTCCCACTAGTTCGAATTAAGGGGCTACACACCCCTTAATTCGAACTAGCTAGTTCGAACTAGGCTTAATCCTCGTAAAATGAGGTTTACCTAGTTCGAACTAAGCGCTCCGCTAGTTCGATTCAAATTCGAACTAGCGGAGCGCTAGTGTAGCGCCTATTAAAGTTAGTTCGAACTAACGTCCGTTAGTTCGAACTAACTTTGTAGTGTAGACATACCCATATATATTTACAATTACCAGACATCCTGAATGGTTCTATTGAAACTGGGGGCTTCACCAAATTTCAGTGGATTCCTATGACATCTGGTCACTTCGGGGACATCTGTCTGCCATGTTGGTGCCCAATGGCATGGGAACACTTTTAAGAGTGAGGGTCCTAAAATCCAGCCCCCCTTACACCTGCCCACCCATCCCCAGCTGAGGCTGTGAGCAAAGCCTCAGCATGCAGGCTAGCAGCAGAGCTCTCCAGCACACAAGACAGCAGCCAGGATACCGGGCTTGGGGTAGCAACTGTGACCCCAGCATGTTGGGCCAGCAACAGAGACCCAGCATGCAAGACAGCATCCAGATCCCAGGCATGCGGTCTGCAGACAGGACCCCTGCATACGTATCTGGAAGCAGAGCCCTGGCATGCAGGGTCAGCAGATGGGACTCCAGGCACTAGGCTGGGAGCCCAGGGATGCTACAGCATCCCCCACACCCACAGTGCCTACGGTGGTGTCATGTTGCAATGCAGCGTAGCAGTGCTACACAGGCCAGTTCCAACAGGTAGCTCTCTTCCCTCCTGACATGTTTCCCTTGAGGAGGAGGAAAGTAAAAGGACCAAACTATAGGATAAGAATATCAAAGGCTTTCTTTAGGCAGCTCCTGAATCAGCACTTCTCTTCAGGCTGCTCCAGGAACTGGGTGTGGGGAGAAACAGTGGGATGAGGATGGGAAGGCAATGGACAGTAAGGAAGAGAAAAGGCATGGGAGTGTGACTGAAAAGGGACTGGCAGATATTGGGAAAGGGGAGGTAGAAATGGGAGGCAGGTGAGTGGCAGAAGAGGAACAAACAAGCGAGAAGCATCTACAGACTGAATGAGGAAGAGAAGAGAGAGGGGTGACACAGATGTAACCCACACACCTACTGGGTATGGTTCAATGTCCCATCTAGTGGTAGCTAGACCAATTACTGAGAGAAAGAATGAGTTTGCTCTACAGCCTTAGCTGAGTGTAACTCGGCCTTTAGCTCAAGCCATAGAAGCTCATACACTAAGTTCCCGAGATCCCAAGTTCAGTTCTGCATATTGGTGTTACATAGACATCCTTATTCATTGTTTTGCTTACAAAAAACACATGGTCTCCAGTGTTTTTCAGAACCTGCAAATGTGAAATAGTTATTGAATGAACCCAAAATCCTGAAAACATCCATCTTACGTTGCTGTACGACGACGGCCAGTGGATTTCATTGTATGGGCTGATGTGAGTATGCTGTGTCTGCAGAGCATAGGGGAAGGAAGTCACATGGAGTGTCAAAACGTTTGGAGCCTCTTTCACCTCTCTGCAGTTCAATAGTCTATCAACGAGTCCCACAGATGGATCCGCTTGAGGATAAAGGCAGTGAACAGAGCTGCAAAAAGAAACCCCATACTCTCCAGAGTGATTTGTATTCAAGTACACTTGTGACAAATGCACATATGTCACCATCTGAAACCCGGACACGAAAGCATAGTGCACCACTCAGATGGAATTTGGATCTGGATTCTTCACCTTACTTTGTTCTGTTTGCATCACTTGGGTAGCACAAAGGAAGGGGAGAGCAAGCTGCTTATCTCCTCAGCTGGGAGTTCCCTGGCATGATAATTATACCACAAACTCGGGGCTGTGATGGCAGACTTCCCTCAGTCCCTGGTGTACAGCACAGCCCCTAGCATACAGATTGAAAAGGGGCTAACACCACATCAACTGCCAACAGGCATTTGGTTTTCTGCAGACTGTAGACAGGTGCCATGTTCTTTGTAGAAACAGTTAATTTGTTTGAAGACCTATCAGGTCCCACCTCCTTTTCTCAAGACTGAATATGTCCAATTTTTTTAACCTTTTCTCCGAGGCTAGGTTTTCTAAGCTTTTAATTATTTTTGTTGCTCTCCTCCAAATTATCTCCAATTCGTTCACGTCATTCTCAAGCATGACACCCAAAACCGGACATGATACGCCATCTGAGACCTCACCAGTGCAGAGGAGAATGGGACAGTTACCTCCTACATCCTAGTATATGGCCTTTTTTTTTTCAAAAAACGTACCGTCAGAAAACATTCCAACTTGCTCTAGCGATAAGTGTCTAGCATGTCATGCCAACTGCCCAGGCACTGTGGAGTTTCTGCAGGCACTGCAGCAGAGGGGCATTTGAAGGAGACAGATGAAGGTGGATGCTGGGGTGGCTTTGCACATATTTACACAGAGCTCTCCAAATATATAAAGAACAGCCTGAAAGAATGCAGGATGGTGCTTGTGGGGGAAATGTAACTGATGGACAATGAGGGCTGGCACTGATGACTTGATAAAACACATGGGATGATAAGCAGGGTACAGATAAGTCACCCAGGACCTTAAAAGGGAGCATTTATGTATGTTTCATAGAAAGGGGAAACCAGTGGAAGGATGAACCAATGATAGATGAACCAATGATACAAGAATACAAACAAGAACAACTTTAGTAAATAATATTGTCTCTAAAAATGACCTAAGAGTGAAGTAGGCCTTACCTTGCAAGATCCCAGTGTGCATGATCATGGATTAGTATAAACAGTGTATGTGGATTCTGCATAGAGTTTTGCAAAAAGACTTTAAATTTAGTCTGGGCATCTGCGTCCAGCTTCACAACATATTGTTCCATCCTCTGCTTTGTAAGGTGCTCCTTTTCTAAGCCAAGTTCTAATAAAACACCTATGGAAATGGAACAGGGGTAAGTTCTTCCAAGCCCAAATGCAGCTAACAATTTTCTGTATGTATAGAGAATAAATCTAGCTAATAATGAGCACCTGAATGCCAGAGGTGAAACAGTGTCTGCTGATATGTCACTTCGGAGGGGGGGACACAAATCAGAAAATCAACTCTCTCAAAGGAACCCAAATCAAGATTTTGAGTGCTGGAGTCAGCAATTGAGCAAACGTGAGACAGCAATTTCTGAGCCACCGCTAGCTGGAATGGACGAATCTGATGCCGTTCAACATTATAACCTGAAAAAAGGCAAAAATCTGTTCAGCTGAATGACTGAAGCCTAATCTTCTACAAACTTGCCCTAAAGTCTGGCTGACTTTAAAGTAGCTTGCTTATGAATTGGGACTTTGCTTTCATGAATGCTAAAGGGGCATTCAAAAACCCTTTGTGAAATTGGGTATTTGTATAATTGTGGGACTCCAGCGTTTAGCCCTAGGACTCTCACACACCTCAGGACTGAAACTTGGCTGTTGCAGTGTTAATGTCCATACCTGAAGGCCCAGAGACTAGGAAGTTGACAGGAATGAAAAGGAACTTCCATTCCTGCAAACCTGGAGGACCTAAACAAGAGGAGTTTCTGTGAACCTGAGTTTGGAACTCTGCAAAGGGACTAAGCTCTGCCCACATGGATCCAACTGCAGGGTCATGGCCTTAATTTGTTTTGAAGGAGAGACAACCTGCTCTACTACATTTCAGACACCTTCATTACTTACTTGTGCACACAGCTGCTCCAGTTATATCTGATGCTGTTGGCTTATTCGCTGAAGTAGAAAGAGATGAAGACTTGTGGCTTTGGTTTTCTTGATAAAACTTGTCCAGCAGAAGCTCAATGTCACCATCTACCAAAATGAAAGGACAATGGATATTAGTACCCATGGTATCCTATAGCCCTTTTCTGGATGGTTCCCATAGTCATAACAGAATCAAACCAATAATCAACGCAAAGAAACTATGGGCCAATTTCTCTTCCCACTTGAACCGGTGTAAATCAAGACTAACCTCATTGAAGTCAATGGAATTACTCCAACAGTAATTTAAAGCAAGATAATAGCTTTGGTTGGGCCAGGACAATAGGGTGGGCCTGAAATAGGATTGTTTCTCATAAAACAATTCTGCTAGAAGGGACAGTTATACTGTAAAATGGCTACAGAGGGTGGGCACATTGGTAAGAGAGTGGCCGGAGGGAAGTGGGGCTTTAGTTGTTGCCAGCCAAAGTACCCCCTCCCCCAGCATCCTGGGCAGTACAGTCCCCACAACCCTGGCCAGCCCTGGTGAGACAATGCCCAGCCAGCATAGCTCCTGCCACCTCGTCCAGCTTCAGGGAGTCACCACCCAAACAGCATGGGCCCCACTGCTCCGGCCAGCCCAGGATAGCTGCCGCCTGGGCAGCGTGGCCCCCGCTGCCTCATCCAGCTGCTGCCCCAACTAGCTCCGGGGAGCTGCCAACCCCACCCCCTGTCCTGAACCAACCACACACCCAACCTCCAGTCCTGACTCCTGCATCCCCCACATTTCTGCCCTATCTCCCAATCCCCTGCCCTGACTCCTGCACTCCCCCATCTCCTGGCCTGAGCCCCCCAACACACCCAACCTCCTTACCTGATTTCTGCACCCCAGCCCCATGCCCTGAGCCCCTCCTCACCCCCAGCCCTGACTTCCGCATTCACCACACTCCCTGGCCCCTACTCTGGGCCCCCTTCACATACACACACACATACACACACACACCTCCTAGCCCCTGCCCTGACTCCTACACCATCTACACCCTCAGCCCTTTGACCATGGCTCCTCTGTAAGGACCCTAGGAATGCTGGATCAATTTGCTAGATATACATAATGCAGAAGACAGATACATATTTTACTGAATTGTGTCACATCATATCCTTGCAACCTGTTCAGTCATATTGAAAGCTATACAGGACACAGCATTAGCACTGGAGGCTCACTTTGCTCAGTGCTTGTGCAGAGACACATTAGTACACCCAGGCTACATCTACACTGTAGGCTTCTTGCGCAAGAACTTTTTGCAGATGAGAACTTCCACAAAAAGTTCTTGCGCAAGAGCACGTCCACACTGCTATGTGCTTTTGCGCAAAATAGCATCCACACTGCCATGGATGCTCTTGTGCAAGAAAGCTCTCTTGTCTGTTCACACATGCCTTTTTGTGCAAGAGCTCTTGCATAAAAAGGCTTATTCCTCATAGAAAGAGGAATAACGCTTGCGCAAAAAGCCCTGTCATCTGATGATCTACTATACTTTTTCTTGCGCAAAAATTCACTTTGGCTTCGTCTACGCTGGCATGATTTTCCAAAAATGCTTTTAACAGAAAAGTTTTCCGTTAAAAGCATTTTCGGAAAAGCACGTCTAGATTGGCAAGACGCTTTTCCGCAAAAGCACTTTTTGTGGAAAAGCATCCGTGGCCAATCTAGATGCGGAAAAGCCCCGATCGCCATTTTCGCGATCGGGGCTTTTTTGCGGAAAACACTACACTGGCCCTTTTGCGCAAAAGTCTTTCGGAAAAAGACTTTTGCCTGAACAGGAGCAGCATAGTATTTCTGGAAAAGCACTGATGATTTTACATGAGATGGTCAGCGCTTTTCCGGAAATTCAAGCGCCTAGTGTAGACAGCTGGCAAGTTTTTCGCAAAATCACATGATTTTGCAGAAAAACTTGCCAGTCTAGACACAGCCTTCTAGTGTGGACACTCTGCAGTACAGACGTAGCCCCAGAGTGAGCGGAGCAAGGTCTGGGTCTCAATTCTTAACTGCAGGTCAGAGAGTGAACATGATGTGCATGACAGCTCTTCAGAGGGTTTTTGGTTGCTCTTACTGCCCAAGGAAAAGAAGTACCTGTGTGCTTGTAAGAGTCATACTTAACAGAAACTTGAAGCAGAAGTAACCACCAACACAAAAATGTGTCTGACAGTCCTAAGAAAAGAGAATCACTCTCAAATGGCTAGTTAATGGCTTGTGACTAGAGCTGGGTGAAAAAATTTAGCAATTAATAAATTTGCTACAAATGCATTTTGGGGGCACTGAAACTATCCACAAATTCAGATCAAATTTGGCAAATAGCTTTGGCCAAAAACAATTTTTAAAAAAAGGCAAAGCAGTTCATTCTGACCATTTTGAAATAAAATGTATCTGACTTTGTGTCAAAATGACATTTTGAAATTTAGTTGTTTTTTTTTGTTTGTTTTTGTTTTTATAAAGAGAAACCACACCAAACAGGAAATAAAAAGAAAAACCAAAAGCATTTTGTTTTATTTTGGGTTTATTTTTCTCATTTCATTTTAAGTGTTTCTAAATCTAAAATTATATTTTGCTTATTTGTTTGTCTATTTTTTTAATTTTGTTTCAGTGAGAACCGCAAAATAACTCATTTCAAATAATGGTTTTTTTTGTTTGGCCCCAAAACAAAAAATCCCTCATTCATTCAGCTCTGCTCCTGATGTATGCCAGGCAAACTGTTCTTGACAGCTTTCTAGTCTTCAGTATCAGCTCGTCTCAATTTACTTCACCTTACTTGATTGCATGTGGAAAGTAGCAGGATCAGCAGCCCTTCTGGTAGCTCGGTACTACTTTCTATCACTTTAGAGGGCTCAGGATTGAGGGCATGCTGAGATGCAGTAGTGGAATACTGTACTCAAATTCTCCTTTTAATCTGAGCATGTTCATAATGCAAATTATGTACATGCATCAAACACATTCAACCATCAATGTGTCTGTCCTGCGCAGTCAAGAACAGAACACTTAACTATATGTTTATGCGCTTTATTAAAATATTGGCATTTATAAATTGACACATTCTGTGAGAATTTCTTAAGGAGAACACATGTACTTTCCCAGATCTTCCTTGGCTTGGTTGTACATTTTCTTATTATATATCCTATTCATGAAAGGTGATGAGCTCCTGCAATTCCCACTGACTTAGGCTCTTAGAGCTGGGTCTATTTATGGCATGTTATGTACCTGGACAAAGGGTGCTAAAAAAAGAGCCCAATGTTTCCACTTTCCCAGTAACTAGTTGATAGTTAACTTCTTTCTGGTACTCTGCTGGGGTAAGCATACTCTCAGACAGCACTCGTGCCTGGTACTTTCCTAAAACAAAACAAAAAAAGCTCTTTTTAATTTAAATTTATATTTTGAATGCAGTTTAAATTAAAGTAAAATTTCTCTACATAATTGATAAAATAAACAATATCTATCAAAAGGCATATCTCCCAAAACAAGAGTAACAGAAATCAGCATCTCTCTCTCCCCCTTTTATGTTCCCCCTCTATTGGTCTCAAGAAGAATGTTTTTAAAGCAATATATGGAAAAGACTGTAAGAAACAGGCTTGGCTTTGTCATTCATCTGAGTCATACTGCTTTCCAAAAGTACCCATAGATATTCGTTATTTCATAGATATCCAAACCAATTGTTCTGAGTAAAGCTGCAGAGTGCCAAGAATTCTTGCCAATACTGTATTATCGACGGAACCTGCATAGAACTTCAGCTGTCTTAGAAAGAACATAAAGAAAAAAACCCCACCTTTGTGAAAATGTGAACATGTTGCTCAAACCTCTCCTTAGTGGAACTCTTCCAATCACACACAGAAGTCAAGCGGTAGGACTAAATTTTCAACATGGCTTCAGTACAACCTCAGAATTTGCACGTGCTTTAGCATGCATGCTCAAAGCCCTCTTTTGCAAGCACTGACAAGCAAAACATGTTAGCAAGTAGCACGGGCAAGGTCACCCATACACGAGCAAGGGTGTGCAATAACATGCAAGCAAGTTAGGCCAACTGACTCAGAAGAAAAAATGATGGCATTTGCCAGGTGTGCCCCAAGCTTTTTACCTAGGAATCTCACCTGTTACCACAATGCAGGAATCTAATGTTCTGTTTCTGCAAGCACATATGATCACCACGTAATTCGTCTTCACTAGCTTCCCTTCAGTGAGCAGCTTAAACATTTCGGTAAGTCCCTCGGCGAGAGAGTAACTGCACTCGATGATATGGACACTGTCATTGGAAGAGCTGGCTGCCAGCCCTGCTAGCCACGGAAGCTGGGCAGACGTCATTAGAGCGATCTGGCTGGGAACTGGAGAGAAAGCCTGTGGAATGGCCTGCTGATACTGACGGATTTCAGAGAGGTGTGACTCCCTCCATGAGCGCATGAATATGTGTTCCAAATCCTCAATCAAAGGGACCTGGTCTGGAGCTAAAGAAACGTCAGCATTGGAGGCACATTGTAAATCACTTTAAAATGATGTTGAACCAAAAATCAAACCCCTTCCCATCTGAAAAATACTGCAAATTAAAATCCTTTGAGGACTGATTTTTGCTTTGGTTTTATACATGCAACTCCATTATCCTCGCTGGAGTTACACCTGGTTTATGGCAGAGTCAGGCCCTTTGCCCATATAAAAGATTTAGGGCCAGACTGTTGTTCACACTGCAGCCCCATATAAAGAGTCCCACCAGTATACATGGTGGATCAGGACATGGTTTGGTGGGGGAGTGGAGGAGCCTGGCTAGTCTTTCAAAGATATCATGGTCAGTGTAAATTAGAGCAACCCTCAGCATAGTAGGCTTCAACAGCCCTACCAGTCAGCGGGAGCAAATCTGCCATATAGCCACTTATATTCCATCCTTGGTTCCTATATAGAGCAGAGATCTTCTAGACCCAAACCTCAGGGTCTTTTATCATTTCAACAAAGACGTCTTATACCAATGCTGGAATACACAATGGGGATTGAATTGATTTCATATCCAGAAAGAATCATTACAACCAACTAGTCAGACAGTCTATATGATACACGTGACAGAATTCCACCCAGTGATTCGCCATCTAGCCCAACAGATTATGGAAGATATACTCTAGATCAGCGACAAAGATATCCAAGAGTCAATGAACATTTTTGGCAGTCCTGATTTCAAATGGGAAATAGAATGAATCTTACTAAGGTCTTAGTCCCTCGGAAACTGTAAGTGCCCAACACGTCTCAGCATTTGGCCCTATATTTTTATCAAGACTCAACAACCAGCTCTTTCACTACAGCAGGAGTCCCTTTAGTTAATATAAAAAGCACCTAGTCTAAGAAATCTTAGTCCTTATTCACCAATGGCAAAATATATTAACTCTATTCCAAGATTCTACACAGGTGAAAAAAAACAAACTCACCTAGTTGTACAAGGTAATAGACGGTTAGTAAAAGCTGCATTTCCTCTGAAATAGGCTGTATTGTAGAAGCACCATACTGTTCATAAGCCCTAGACATGGACTGTGAATTTTTGTAGCAGGTGTACAAAAGAGGGCTGACTACAATGTCATTAAGGTTCCCACAAAGATAAGGGAAGTTCCCATGACCTGCAATATAAACAATATTTGCACCTGTCAGATAAATTTAATGTAATAATTCACTGTGCAGACACCACACATATGACTAGTTTTAAATGGTAACAGCTTGAATAATATTTCCGTGCTCAGGTGAGTCAGAGAGAGAGAGAGAATAAAAGCAGTAGGTGAACCCCTTGGCTCAAAGTGTTGTGTACCCTTAAGCTATGTTTACACTACGAGTTTTCGTGGCAAAAAATATGCAAATGAGGAACTCATTTGCATGAGTCCCGATCTCATTCGCATATTTTCTGCTGATCCGTTTTTGCGCAAAAACAAGCAGTGTGGATGTTTTCTTTTTGTGCAAAAACCTCTTTTTCCACAAGATCATGTGTGCTGTGATTCATTCTCCCAACCTCTTCCAGGGGACAACTCTGTGGGAGGCATTTTGTTTTAGGAAGGTTTTTACTTGGTTGTTTTTTGCAGGAGGAGCTGCTAGATTTTTTTGCACATGCTGTTGTGGTGCTTAGTTAGAGAAGGCTGGTCAAAGAAGTGTACCTTGCACTTGGATTGTTTGTGATGGCCCTTAGTCCCTGTGGGGGCTCATGTCACAGTCTCAGATCAGCTTCCAGCAAAGCTCTTATCACAGACCAGCTTTACCCTAGTTCCCCAATGCAGAGGAGCAGAAAAATTAGCCATGGTCTTCATCCAGAGCTTTAGGTGATTTTCTAGTGATGTTGGGCATAAGTCACTGAGCATTTTTAAGATAAGGACTGAGAACATTAGACATAGAGGATAAGAAATGAGGGGCCTTACCAGCTAATGGAGATAGCTTAAGTGGTAGAGGCCTGTGTTTTAAAAGCTGAAAGTCCTTGGTTCTATCCCTACCCAAGGGAGCAAAGCTGTTACAAACTGAAGTCCCATATGCAGATATGAAGTCATGTTGGTTTCAAATGCTCAAAATGAGCCTCCTCTCTGAAAAGAAGAGTAGTGCACATTTATTTAGGGCTCACCTACACAGTGCACTGGGGTGGAATGCACTGTGCAGACCCTTGCTTCCACTCAGTTTTCTTTAGCATAAGATGAGGTAGTTCCATTTAAAACAGTGCTGCATTAATGCACACTAGGGAACTTTCAGTGCATGCCAGCAGGGTCCACGTGGACCATTAGCATGTGACACACTGGTGTATGGTGGATTTTACATACTACCTGGTGTATATTAACCCTAAGACTATATCTCCTCAGCAATTAAACCCTTTTGGCTGGTTCGTGCATGCTGGCTTGAGCTATGGGCCATTTAACTGCAATGTAAACATTCAGGCTCCAACTAGAGCCCAAGTTCTGGGACCCCACAAGGAGATAAAGTCCCACAGCCTGGCTCCAGCTTGCGCCTGAATATCTACACAGCAAGTTTTAGTCCAACTGCCCAAAACCCATGAGCCCAAGTCAGCTGAGCCTTGGCTATGCCATGAATCTTTTTTTCCAGTGTAAATGTACCCGAGGCACTTCATGGCTGGACTTCAAAGAAAATAATGCCCTACTATCTAGACAACATTTTATATGAATAGACTGTGCAAGTTTTACATCTGTCCTTCACAATGCACCAAAGATGCAAGGCTTTCTAAAACTCCCCCATTTTACCCCAACTAATACTACAAGTGTTCCCTAAAGTACCTGATAGAACCATGAGGTAGATAATGTCTACTTCAGTCTAAACTGAGATGTAATCACTGAACACCAATTACAAATTTAAGTTTACAAAGGCCAATGCACTAATTTACAGTCTTAGACTCCTTAATTGTTGACCAATCTTGTTCCTATTGCAGTAAATGAGAATTAAGCATTTGATTTTAATGGTGGCAGAATTACACCCTTGAGCTTTGTTTTTTTACTGTTTTTGTTTTAGGAAGGGTTTTTTTTAAGGGAGGGAGGTTGATTGAGTTTTTGTTTTACTTCTAATAATTATAAAGTTAATTAGTTAAAATTTGCACATATAAAATACTATATGAGTTTGTTCTTATTAAATTTCCTTTAAACCTGTGTCCAGTATACTTCAAGTGTAACGGTGGGCCCACATCTTTGCATCTCTTACACACATGAATGGCTTTTTTTACCTTTAAATATAACTGGTTTCGCTTTACATATTTTCAGCAAGTTATCAGGAACGGAAACTGGTTCTCCAGAGGCCACCATTGGAGAAGAAACTGGTCCCATCACAGCAGAATGTGTCAAACATGATAGGCTTCCTATATCTAAGAATTAATTCATAATGTTAATACAATCAAGTAATAACAATATTGATGCAAAAATTCACAAGATTGTATGAAGAGTATTAAACACCAACCAGCAATCTGCATTCAAGATCAATCTTCCATTCATTTTGCACTTACAATACAAATGATTCATGAACTGCCAATAAAGCCTGTACTTATTATGTTAGCTTCCTTAGACTAACAATTACATTTCAAAGCCCCTGGGTATTACATGTGTCTAAAAATTGCAAAATGAGCATGACACATAATGGCCTGGCACAAGCTCAGATAATATGGACAGGTGTGGCTTTATCCACAGCAAACACACAGGATCAGCATTTTCCCTCATTATTAATATCTTCATCAATATTTTAGATTATGGCATAGAGAGTACAATTATTAAGTTTGCAGATGATACCAAGCTGGAGGAGAGGGTCAAAATCCAAAATGATCTGGATAAACTAGAGAAATGGTCTGAGGTAAACAGGATGAAGTTTAATAAGGACAAATGCAAAGTACTCCACTTAGGAAGGAACAATCAGTTTCACACATACAGAATGGGAAATGATTGTCTGGGGAGGAGTACTGCTGAAAGGGATTTACAAGTCATAGTGGACAAGTTAAACATGAGTCAACAGTGTGGCAAACATGATTCTGGGATGCATTAACAGGAGTATTGTGAGCAAGACACGAGAAGTCATTCTTCCACTCTACTCTGCACTGAATAGGCCTCATTTGGAGTTTTGTGTCCAGTACTGGGCATCACATTTCAAGAAAGATGTGGAGAAATTGGAGATGGTCCAGAGAAGAGCAACAAAAAATTATTACGGGTCTAGAAACCATGACTTATGAGGGAAAACTGAAAGAATTGGGCTTGTTTAGTTTAAGAAAAGAGAAGACTGAGAGGGGACATGATAGCAGTTTTCAAGTACAGGCAGTCCCCGGGTTACATGGATCCGACTTACATCGGCTCCCCACTTATGTAAATGAAGCCTGGGAAATTCAAATCCCGGGCTTCATTTGCAAGTGCGGTATGCCTACATTACCTTCCTAGTTCGAACTCGTAGGGTAGTGTAGACATACCCTGAGGGAAGTGAGGTGTGGGAGAATAAAACTGAGCTCTGGAGAAATGTTTGGCTAGAGTTTCCCCTACAATATGTACCAGTTCCGACTTACATACAAATTCAACTTAAGAACAAACCTACAGTCCCTATCTTGTACGTAACCCAGGGACTGCCTGTATCTAAAATGGTGTTTCAAGGAGGAGGGAGAAAAATTGTTCTCCTTGGCCTCTGGAGATAGGACAAGAAGCAATGGGCTTAAATTGCAGCAAGGGAGGTTTAGGTTGGACAGTAGGAAAAATGTCCTGTCAGGTCAGTTAAACACTGGAATAAATTGCCTAGGGGGTTGTGGAATCCCCATTACTGAAGATATTTAAGAGCAGGCTAGACAGACACCTGTCAGATGATCTAGAGAGTGCTTGGTCCTGCCGTGAGGGCAGGGAACTAAACTCAATGACATCGTGATATCCCTTCCAGTTCTAGGATTTTATGATTAACATATTCAGGGGGGTTGATTCTAAGGGAATGTTCTTGCTATAAATACCTAGAAAGGGAAATTAAAAGCATTACACATTTTGTTAAGTTTTTAATGTCCTGTTTTTTACAGCAATACTACTAACAACAGTAGATAAAAAGACTATTTGAAGGAAAGCTAATAGATGACAAAATCAATTTCAATTTCAGATTAGGTACCGAGGTACTTTTGAAAATCATCTGAGGCACCTAGATAGATATTTAGGCTCCTAAGTGCCTTGTAAAATCCCGCCCTTCACTCATTATCTTTTAGACAAAAAAAATTCAGCTAACTTACCATTTTTATTTCTATTTGGAATCTGTGGGTTGGGCTGCAGGTTCCAAGTTTCAGTAGATGAGGGTGACTCTGGGGACCATCCTTTGTGGCGCTTTTTTGGAGGCCCTGAATTTGTTAAAGTGCCTGGGTAATATTAATATTTCAGAAAATTATGAATATGCAAAGAGGAGGAATATTTTAAATTGTTAAATCATATGCCTGACATTCCAGTATGATTTTTAATAGACCAGCTCTAAGCACATGTTAATTATTGTACTAGATTGCATCAGACATGAATATAGATTCTCTAGTATGCATATGACCTTTATTTTACTGTGCTATGTTATACCTTAATAATGTGAATGGTCCAGTGCATTGTAGCATAGTTAATCTAGTTTAAAGCACTGAGAGTTCTGTGGAAACTATACTAGCATTGATTGATATATTCTTAACCTGGAAGCCAAGAACATATAACTCCCTGTATTTCCAGATACAAGGCTCAAAAAGAGCATATTTAGCTAATCAGAGACATAGGATAAAATTTGTCAAGGTGGGCATCTTAAGAGACTGAGCAGCTGGCTCCCACACCTTTGTTTGCACTATCAATCACTATACTAAGCCACATTTATGCTGAAATTCCTGGACTTCGATTTCTTGTGTTTTCCTGCATGTTTCTGCAGAAACATTTTCCAGAATGGTAAACTTGCACTGTTAGTAGTAACAGGCATTTCTGACTATGGAAATTAAGGATCTTTTAGGTTTTGCTCAGAATCTTGCAGTACTGAACTCTTAATTACGTAGCTGAAGCCGAAGTACCTTAACTCGGCTTGTGGCGCTATGTACACAGCAGGAAGTCAAAGGAAGAACATCCTCCCTTAATTTTCCTTATTCCTCATGAAATGTGTATTACAGAAGTCAGAGTAAGAAGCCCATTATTCAGAAATTATTTTGAAAAAATAGTTTTGCTGTGTAGATGCGAATTAAGTGTGCATTGTAGACATAGCCTTAATCTCTCCCTACTTTAACGTGCAAAGGCACCAGCACATCATAACACCTTGCATCAAGGTTAGTCCCATGTATACTTCAAAACCCGAGTTTGTGTCTTATAGATTAAAAAGAGTTCTGATTTTTTTGTAAAAGATACTGTACAAAAATAAACTACAATATATGTGAAAAACCGATACACCTTCAGATCTGGAATAAAATTATTCACCAGCACAGAGGCAGTAGGTACTAAAAAGATAGCCTTTTGTCCTTTATATTCTCCCCACATGAGGGCAATATATGGCCATTTGTTCTATTTTCAATTACTTATCTTTCCAGCATAATCCATAGCAGAAGGCACAATTTCAAGAAGATCAAATCAATATGATGCACTTATTTTTGCAAATCCCCAAATCCTGTCAGGTCTCCTATAGGTTATATAATTCACTAATCTCTGATGATTTCCTTCGTGAAATGAGAAGCTAAGTGCAAGTCCATTTTCTAATGAGCAAGTGCCCACCCTTCTTCAGACACAAAGTGGTCCAGAACTGAGTCAACATGGAAACTGAACTAAACTGAGGCATGCTGACAATGCAATTTGGAGAAAATTGCCTAAAATTAACCTGTAATCCAAATTACTGTTCTGATTCCTACAGAAGCAATGACATCACTCACACCTTTTTTCTGAAAGTTAATAAGGAACAGGAGATGTTATTATTACACTGACGCCTGGGAGAACAGTCTGATCCAGAAACAGAAGAATTTATGCCAAATAGAACGCTCCAGTTTCCCCTCAGAATACACTATTTGGATTTGGTTAAACACAAAATTTAAAGGTACCTAAGACTGATGGTCTTGTCAGAGCTGGCAAGTTATTTTTCACCAGCTGTTGTTTGGGAGAATCTTTGCCATTGTAAACAGTTGAACCTAATGCAGCCGTTGAAGGGAGATGATCAGATATTGTGCCTGCCAAACACAAAAAAAAAAGTTAAATAAATAACTAGAGAGGCAGCTCCTCAGAAGGTGTAATGAACAGATCAACTGGTGGCTGACTTCAATGAAGCTAAGACAATTTAGATCAGCTGAGAATCTCTCCCCGACCCACAGTGTTCATAGCAATGAGCGCAGCAGGTCCAACTTGGATCTCTACCATGAGTGTAACTCCCCTGACTTTATTGGAGTTACTTGTGGTTTACACATGGATAAGGCCCCAGTCCTGCAATCAGATCCACACATTCAGCCTGCTTGTATGGGAAGCTCATTGCAGGAACGGGCCTTAACAAAAAAGAATCAAATATTGCATCAATGCAAATAAACTTGAGCAAAATTTTTAGTTTATATTTTTTCCCAAATATATTTTAATTTATCAGTTGACAGTGTCATATTAATAAATAGGTAGATATAACTACCCCTAACTCTGTTTAAAACTGTTTCTTCATCTTTTGAAAATATATACATCAGTGATGTCCTAAGGGGATTAATGCTTTGTTCTCAAGAGATACTAGGTTTCCAAATCTCAACTTTTTAATATATTTGGAGTCAGGCTTCTCTCTGATAGACAGCATAAAAATGTCAATGGAGTTGCCGCAGTTCTCAAAATACAAAGACCCATCACACTCAGAAAACACTGAACAATTGATCTCATTAAGAGGAAATCCAGAGAGAGCATTTCACTTTGCATCAGTAAACACCTACCTATTCACCCCAGGAAATGGAAAAACAAGGCCTTGAGAAAGTAAATATTTTAAACACAGAATATGTAGTTATATTTTTATAACTACGAAAACTTAATCTTACTTTGTATAAAATTTAAAACATAAGCCAATGCTTCTATAATCAAAAGGAAAAACAGAAGCTTTTAACATAACTTCCACATAATCTCTGCAATAAACAAGTTTCCCACACAAATCATAAAACAGGCTGAATCAGATGAACGAACTAAAATAAAACAAGCTGATTTCCAAAGCTTGTGTAGCCAGATAAGCAACAGCTGCAAAATGGAAAAGCCCACTTTCAGCACGTTAAAACAGATGAATCTCAAAGATTTGGCTTGTCCTAGCTATGGAGATGGCTCACTGACTCCAAAAAAGAAACATTTTTTGAACATTAAGCTATTTCTTAACTCTTTTATCAATTACTTTGTAACGAAAGAGCCTTCAAAGCATAAATCATTTTCTTTCTGCAGCTCTAGGACTTTACAGGCAGTCCCCGGGTTACGTACAAGATAGGGACAGTAGGTTTGTTCTTAAGTTGAATCTGTATGTAAGTCGGAACTGGAGTCCAGATTCAGCCGCTGCTGAAACTGATCAGTTTCAACAGTGGCTGAATCTGGATGCCAGTTC